ATTCTGCTCATGGCACATCTCTTAGCATGTTGGACCCAACCCAAAGTATGGAATTTGATCGTAATCTAGAAGAGTAAACATTAAAATGCTGTCAGAGGTTAAATTAGTAGGAAACACCCTGTCATAAAAAACCTCATGTGTACTTTGAGGGTGGAGCCTGTGTTCTGCGTGTCGGTTTCTGTCCCTTCGGTGATGATACGATGACGAGTCGGAACAGGACTCATCCTGGTTCTGCTGGTCGCCGGTTCAGAATCACGTTCTGTGGTTCTGCTCCGGTTCCTCAGAGCAGGGGGTTCTTTCCAGGTGAAGACATTGAGGCATTTGTCTGAGAAGGGTCAAAGCACGCTTTAATGAAGCTCACTGATGGAGAAGGCGTCTCCTCCTCGTGGCATGTTTTACCGATTTAAAACCTGAAGACCTCCAACTGAACCCACCATGTAGAAAATTGATGAATCATTTCAATCACAGTGAAAGTTTCCTGAGAGAGAATCTTGCAGTACTTTAGATCCACTGATCGATTAGCCGCTAACGCTGTTTTATCACTCTGCTTTTTCAGGGCTTGCTATGGCGTTCTGAGGTTCATCATGGAAAGTGGCGCCAAGGGCTGCGAAGTCGTCGTGTCCGGCAAGCTGAGGGGTCAGAGGGCCAAGTCCATGAAGTTTGTGGACGGTCTGATGATCCACAGCGGAGACCCCGTCAACTACTACGTCGACACAGCCGTCCGCCACGTCCTGCTGAGGCAGGGTGAGCGCAGCTCGGCCACATGCGGCCAAATCAAACTGCCATCGCGTTGTTTTGGTGGCACTGATGTGTTTCTTTAATGCTCTCAGGTGTGCTGGGCATCAAGGTGAAGATCATGCTGCCCTGGGACCCCAGCGGTAAGATCGGCCCCAAGAAGCCCCTGCCCGACCACGTCAGCATCGTGGAGCCCAAGGAGGAGACCCTGCCCACCACACCAATGTCTGAGCAGAAGGGGGCCAAGCCAGAGGTGCCCGTCATGCCCCAGGGAGCACCTGTACCCACTGCATAAGAGGGTAAGAGACAGGAGGGTTTTATTTGACTGCTGCAGGGCCTTCACAAGGCTGTATACCAATGATAGATCCTGCCCTGCTGCTAACCTAAGAGAGAAAATACAAAAAATAGTTCTTCTGCAGTAAAATTGGAGGTTCCTGTGAATTCTGATGAGTAGATCCATTAAAGTCTTGCTACAGTGGAGCTTCAACAGGTTTAAATTAGGACATTTTAGCCATTCGGGTCCGTTCGGGTGACACTGTTGCTGTCCTGATAATATATCGCAAAATAATCTGGATCCAGTGATTTAACACGCTGTGGTGTTGTACGGTCTCACGCGGCTCCCTTCGGTGATGATACGATGACGAGTCGGAACGGGACTCATTCCGGTTCTGCTGGTCGCTGGTTCAGAATCACGTTCTGTGGTTCTGCTCCGGTTCCTCAGAGCAGGGGGTTCTTTTCGGTTGAAGACATCGAGGCATTTGTCTGAGAAGGGTTTCAGCTCACAAACACAAACCGTGACACTTTTACAGGACACCAAAAACAGTCTTTTAGGAACTCGCAGAAACTGAGCTCAACAATTTGAGCTCAGGATTCAGTTTACTGATTTCTGAAACTGGGTTTAATTCTGTTTTTTTTCTCTTTGCAGGTTTTCAGTCGTCACACCAGATGGAAGCAAAGCCCTTTGATTTTTGTGTACAAAAACAATAAAATTTGGAAAATACACTTAAAACAATAAGTGGATTTATTTAACTGCCTGTAGGTTTCATGTGGAGTGGGAAAACTGAGGGAAAAGTTTACAATTTTCCCAACCGGCTCATCTTCAAAACATGTCAAAGTGCTCAGAAGATTATGAGCCGACCTCTTAAACACAATGTAATGTTTTTTTTCCTGGTGTGTGGGAGCTGCAGGTTTATATTTATATGGTAGAGAAAAGTCAAAGTAATGTCCCCGTGGAGGACACAGGATGTGAAATCTAATATTCTATTCAAAATAGTGAAAATCTAAAACTTGCTATGGCGCCCCCTGGTGGGTGGAAGCTGGAATTTACACGTAAAGTAAGCTTCAAAATTTGGACATTGTACATGCAGACTGTTGGTTTTAAAATATGTTTCAGCATTTAGTGCACAGCTGGTTGTCAAACTGTGGTGCTGGTCCCGCTGGTGGGACACGAACCACCAGGTAAGGAATATGAATTAAGGTGAAATTGATGCTCACCTTGAAAGTAAATAAATCAGGACTTTTGTTGTGTGTGTCAATGACTGATTGAAAATTGAGGAGCGTGAGAAGAACTGCGTCAGTGTGGAAACCAATGAGTACAAGACTGATGTTCACAGCTTCACGGAGAAAAGTGAGTCAGCTGAGTAATGCCCCTTTAGGGTTACGTCT